TGTGCTTCTTCCATGTGGACTTTGTTGCTTCTGAGCTAGATGGCCACTAGTTCAGAAGCCTTTAAGACCCCATATACTACATCTTTTGATAGCCGGGCACCATCAGCTTTCTTCACCACATTTGCTTATGCACCCATTTGTCTTCAGTGATGGTACTGGGGAGCTAAGCACACAATGATAGGATTTTTTGTTCTTTGATGCCTGATAACTGATCCCTTCGGCACCTCGTGATCACGCACGCTGGTGTGCTTCTTCTATGTGAGTCCATGTCTTCTATAGCTTTCTCCCTTGTATCCCTGAGTTCCAGCCCTTACTTCCTAAAGTAGTTCCTCACTCCAGAGACATCCACACTAAATACCATAGTGAGCAGAGAGCTGGGAGTGTTCTCATTCAAACCTGGACATACAAAGAGTAGCATTTCCATCTCTCTCAATAGAAGTTGCCAGAGTTGCCTTGGCTTTACTAAGAGCAGTGATTCTCAACCTTCCTAATGCCACAACCCTTTCATACAGTTCCTCGTGTTGTAGTGACGCCCCCCCCCCAACCATAAAATTATTTTCGTTGCTACTTCATAACTAATTTTGCTACTGTTGTGAATGAGGTGACCTCTGTGAAAAGGTCGTTGGACCCCAAAGGGATTGTGACCCACAGGTGGAGAATCGCTGACTAAGACTGATTCCTGTCCTTGTTCTTTAATATTGACTGAGCATTTCCTCATAATAATGTTTAAGTGTCTCTTGCTGGAAGTTTACATGCTTTCTCCGAGATTGATCAAGTTGAAGGGAGAGAAAAGCCAGAGGTGGTTTGTGCGGGATTGTAACTGGCAAATGGCAAGGCCAGGACCAGAATCCCCGTTTCTTCCCGGACTTCTCACCACCCTCTAAGCATTCCTTACTAATAGCATTCTCTTTAGGATGATGATCAGAATTGAAGACAGGGACTCAAAGGTACTAGAAAGGCTGTTGGATCTATTAAGTCTCAGGGGAAAATTAGTAGAGGCAAAGGTGAGGAAGAAGTCCTTGTCTTAAAATGGGTTGCATCATAAAAGTGGTCTTGGGTAGAAAATATAATTAAAACTTGTAGAATTGTCTCCTCCCCTTTGATTTCACTTTCTCTAGTTGATGGTAAATTAATGGACACTAAGCACAACTTCAGCCTCAGCTGAAAGCATTTTAACCTTAGGAAAGTAACTATCACAGAAATGGCAGTTGTGCTGAACAGCCTCTCCTCACTATCAGCTACCTTGTCAGCCAACTCTTTTGCTTATCCACACTGTACATTTGGCAGTCACAGATGCCGAGGTATGAGACCAGAATAACTTTGCCTTTGATAGTTAAAGTTGTGTGTCAATTAGGCGGGATCATGATTCTCAGTGGTTTTACAGTTATGTAATGAGGTAATTTGGCAGTTACGCCTTCCTCCATTTAGTGTTGTGGACATCCTCTGTTTTTACATGATGCTGAATTTCACCTAATAACCTGGCTTTTGTGACCTAACCATGTCAATAAATGAGAAATGGGTGTATTTCTCGCTAACCAGATCTGTGTTGCAGAGAAAAGTGGAGTCATTCAAATATGTCCATGTCTTCCCATCCATTTCATTCATTCATGTTTCCATCCTGGGTTCTAATAGATGCTTTGTGCCAAGCAGTATAGTAGGCAAAGCACCCTTGCTCTCTAGCTCAAGTAGCATCTTGTCTGTGAAATAGTTTTAATAGCTTATTAATCTTTACACAAAATTAGCCAATTTCTATTTTGTGGTTCTCCAGGCTGCTGTTTACTCAGTTACCCATCCATTCAAACGTTATTCTCTCTGGAGCTACGCTGTGTTAGGAAGGCGCTGGATGGATAAAGTCACTTGACAGTCCTTGCCCTCAAAGAATTCAGTTGGACTCGTAAACCAATGACTGCAGTACATGAGTGTGGCAATGAGGAAATGGAGCTGATGTAGTGGGCAAAGAAAGAATAAACCATGTTTGCATCCCTATTCACCTTGAGCCTTTTAAGGTCGGGGTGATGTTTAATTCATCCTCCTATTCTCGCTGTGCCTCGCGTGAAGTATCTAGGATATATCAATGCCCTACTCATGCTGAAAAGAGCAAATGAATTGTAGGGAAATGGTGAAACCAAGTGTCAAAATCCAAGAAGTGAGTGAAATAGGAATGCCCTCAAGAATCAAGGGGACGATTAGAGACAGGCAGCCCCCTATGAGAAGTAGCATACCCCTTGGCAAAGCCATCCAACTGCAAATCTAGAAAATATGAGTGTTTTAACCCTCATAGTTGTTTTCAAGATGTGCCCGTCCTGTCGGGATACTGCTTTCTAATAATGGTCGTGTCTAAATCCAATAGCAAGCCTTCTGAGGGGCTCACTCTGACTTTAAAATAATGATCTGTTGTTGTGAAACACACCCGAACAGAGGGAAGCCATGTCCCTAGATTTGAGGCACAGAATAGAAATAGTTTTGTCCCAGCCAAAGCCATAAACTTGCATGGCAGTCTTCAGCATGTACAAACTTTCATGTATATCATCACAGAGCAGCTGCAAGTTCAATTCAAAGAAAAGCCTGTACACTGCTGATCTGTGGCAGGAAATACTAGTCACTCGTCAGTCTCTTCAGCTAAACTGGCATGAGGAGAAGGTGGCCCCAACTCTCTGCCTGAAGATGTATGTATTTAAATTAGTTTCTGGTGGCAAAAGCAGTCACCAGAATAAACTCTTACCGGGAAAAGAGAACTTTGTGAGTGACCAGTTGTGGGGCAGCATTTCCCATTCATGAAGAGGAAGCATGGAATTGCCTCCCTCACTTGAGCCCTGATGGTGTAGTCTTTACACACAGGCCTGCTAACTACAAGGCCAGCAGTTCAAAACCACCAGCTGCTCCATAGAAGAAAAGTGAGGCTTTCTGCTCCTGTGAAGATTTACAGCCTCGGAAACCCAAAAGGGCAGTTCTGCTCTGTCCATGGGGTCACTATGCGTCAGCATTGATTCAGTGGCAGTGACAGATCAATCAATAGCTGAGCCCCTTCTGTTTTCCAGACTGTTTTGAGCTGTGAGTAAATATGATGGGACTTCAGACAAATGGAATTAAAAGACCATGGAATCTTTACACAAACTTTTGGAAGCCACGTTATATTCCCTGATTTGCACTTTGCTAGTATGCAAGTGATTACACGGGGGTCGTGAGGGAGAATAACAAGGTCGTGTGGCAGTGGACTGGAGGAGTGGACATAGGGCCTCTGGCCTAACCTTGAAGGTTCTGGATGGCCTTCTCTGAGGGAGTGATGTTATGTCTGTGGGGCAGATATCCCTTGTGATCTGTAAAATGTATGCCGTTCGAAAGCAAGCTTATCTTTATTGCTGATGCTGATGCTGTTCCTCAAGGTCTCTGGATTTCTCCTATGCCCGCATGATCTCTGGGGAATAGTTGTCTCACAGGAGTCCTTTGCTCTCTCTGTGCAGAGAACTTCAGGAAGGAGAAGTAGAAAGTATTTCATCTTCCTCTTTGTTCTTGGAACTGCTGTATAAGAGGTCTCAGCACTGGTAAGGGACTTAGGGAAATGTGACCCTTCAGCAGGTTGCATAATATTAACCCCATTTTATGAAGAAAAGGAGTGAAGCCCGAAGAGATGAAGTGATTTGCCTTAGGCTTAAGGCTTAGGTCTGCCATGGTGTTGCCCTTGATTTCATTAACAAAGGCAATGCCTGAATGTGTTCATTTGAATTGCGAGCTGGGATTTTGGTGGTAAGATAGGATTTTACCCCTCTCTGGTTGCTGTGTGCAATGCCACAGTGACCAATCCCAGGTTTTGTGATACAGTGTTGGGGGTCAAAAGTATGGACTCTGGGACAGTAACTCAAAAATGTACTGTCATTGAGTCGAAACCAACTCAGAGTGAAGCGAGGCCATGGGTTTCCAAGAGTAGTGACTCTTTTCGGAACTAGAAAGCCCTGTCTTTCTCCCGAGGAGAGGCTGGTCGTTTTGAACTGCTGACCTTGTAGATCACAGCCCATCTCGTAACCACTATGCCACCAGGGGCTTGGGCTCAATTGGTGTCAGGACATATTGAGTGTGAGACGCTGAGAAACTTCTTTAATATCTCTGCTGCAGAATCTTCATAGGTGACATTGGCATAATATGTGGTTATTGGAGACCTTGGATAGTGCAGTTAATGTCCTTCACTATCAACAGAAAGGTCGGAGGTTTAATTCCTTCCAGAGGCCCCTTGGGAGAACAGCTTGGTTCCAAAAATCAGCCATTGAAAACCATATACACCACCGTTCTACTTTGACACCACCGGAGTCCCCATTAGTCAGAATTGAGCTATGGGCGACTGGTGGGGTATTTATGTGACTAATGTGAGGGCCAAATAAGTCATCCATATAAAGAGCTTGGGGTGGAGCTTGAGGCATAATAAATGCCTGGTTTTTCTTTGTTATTAAAGAATAAAGGGGTGTCTTAGTTAGCTAGTGCTGTTATAACAGAAGTGCCACAAGTGGGTGGTTCTAATAAACAGCTTTATTTGTTCACCATTGAGGAGCGTGGAAATCTCTAGTCGAGATGCCGGCTCTAGGCTAGGGAAGGCTTTCTTTCTTCGTCTCTGGAGGAAGTTCCTTGTCTCTTCTGACCTTGTGCTCCGGACATCTTCACATAGATCGGCATCACTCTTTCATCTCTGCTTCACTGTCTGCTTGTTTTAATCCCTTTGATACCTCAAAAAGGTTGGATAGAAGACGCACCCTACAGGAATCCTGCCTCATTGACACAACAAAGGCATTCCTAAATGGGATTGTTAGCACAGGTATAGAGCTCCGGAATCATAACACATATTTGGGGGGATATCATTCAACCCATAACAAGGGGGAACTCAAATAATCTAACAAAGGAAAACAAAACACAAAACATGCCTCCCTACCCAGAAACATCCAACAAACCCCCTCCCCCTAAAAAATTATGTGATTTTTTTTTTTTGACAGAAAATAATCATGCAATTATTTAGAAGAGGGTCTTCCGAGTCACAAACGAAGGTTGAGAAGGTTTCCTTTCTGTTCGGCTTCTCTAACCCGATCCGTGGTTTATGCCTTTTACAGCTACAGATCTGGGACACAGCAGGCCAAGAGAGGTTTCGGTCCATTACCCAGAGTTACTACCGAAGCGCCAATGCCTTGATCCTCACCTACGACATAACCTGCGAGGAGTCCTTCCGTTGCCTTCCTGAGTGGCTTCGGGAAATCGAACAATATGCCAGCAACAAGGTCATCACTGTGCTAGTGGGTAAGTAAGGACTAATGAGGCAGGAAATTGATTTGTGGGCATCAGAGAATTTTTAATCACACCAAGTTTGTGCCTTGGCACCTTCCAAGAAGCAAGTCTGTAGATGTGTAATTCATGCAGTTAACTTTCAGTTCTGCCATTGAGGAGAAATGAAATAGGCTCTGTCCCAGGGTGATAGCGTAGAAACGTGGATTGGAAAGTTCTTGCTGATGGATTTTTCTCTCAGTGCAGGCTCTGGGGAAGAATTTGGGCTGTCATGAAAGTTCGGTGAACTGCTAAACATTTAAAAAATGGACTACAAGATCCCGGGAACTCTTGGTCCAGAAGTAAATATATCTCTCTGAAGTTGATATAAAATTCATTACTGGAGCAATTGCTCATTGCCTGGAAACTAGGTTTTGGCTGAGTTTTCTTCTTCTTCCATAGATGCTGGTTCCCAAGAGAAGCTGCTAGGGGAAATGCTGGCATTTTGTTGTTGTTGTTTAGAAGGAAAATAGAGCCTCTATTTGTGTGTGTGTGTGTGTGTGTGTGTGTGTCGGTGGGCGGGGGGTGGGTAGCAAGAGAGGGAGAGAAAGCAAAAAACTACCATGGTTTTCTTTGGTGACAAATAAGTCCATTAAAAATGGAATTGCAGTGAAATGGCTTAGCTCATTAGAAAGTGCCCCAGCGGTGAAGCAAGTGTTACCAACAATACATCCGAGGCCCTGTGGCATATCCTCACGCACAATTTCCCTCCGATTGTGGAAATGCCTGAATCTGCCTTTTCAGTCACAAGATTTCAAGTACATAAATTGGTTCTCTGTGACCTTTCAAAAGTAACCATTGAAGTTTGTCTGTATCTTGAAAACATGATGAATGTAGGAATTTCAATATATTTGCATGTATGTCTATTGATGCTCCAATTGTTCCGACTTCTACGCTTGCAGCTTTTTTAGATTGGCTCCTGAGTCCCTGTGATGTGACCATAGGACATTTTGATAACTTCTTTTTTTTTTTTGGCTTTCTGGTGTGACAAGTGTTCTTGGTCGCAATTAAGGGAGTTTTTCTACAGAGCTGGAGTTAGTCTCCACGAAGGGTGGTTTTGAATGGGGAGTAATATATCGAGGCCACTGTCTAAGGGCTAGGAGTGCTCATCATCCCTGGGTTAGTCATTGCTTTCAGTGGAGAGAACGTGTGTATATGCGGTAAATTATGTAACATTCATGACAGGATCATATCATGTAACCATTCTGACTCACCAGACTACCCGAGGCTAGACTTGGTGGCACTTTTGCTTCGAAGTCTATAGACAGGAAGCTAGTGGCCAGCAGATCGCCACTTGGCGTTGCTGTTAGTGAAAGCGGGCTCCTCTAGCGCTCCACATCGCTTTCTCTTCACCCCGATCCTTGTCTGCTCGTCCATGAGGGAAGAGGTCTCACTTCAGGCAAATGCAGAATCTGCACCGGCCTAGCAGCCCTCGTGTCCCACAGCACTCAATCTCACAACATCTCCACAGAATAACTTTCAGGGTCTTTTCAAGGGAAGAGTCCCTACATGCCGGGAAGCCCCAAATTACAGCTTTCTATTTGCTATTGATAGTTTATAGAGAGAATCCTCAGGCAACATATACTTTACCACACAGGGGTCATTTTTACCTTAAGCAGTGTTGCCAAGTGACACAGTTCACCTTTGTCAGGTTTCCAGGGCAGTAGAGGTAGAAAACTAAAAGTTAAGATCACATAGGACCTGTATTATTCACCGACACTGGCTTTTGTCACTCAGGACCACAGAGCTTTTCCGTAACCTCATTCATCTCATGCTTGTATTTCCTGATTCCCATATCCCAAAAGTTCACATTCCCAATGGCAGCGGTACACTTTCTCGCTGGTCTAATCCCATGATACGCTCAGAGCTCTCTCAGAAGAACAACACAGCCACTAATAAAATAGTTATTGAAACAATTCAAGATTTTTTTTTCCCCTTTCGTACTTTTTGTTCTTCGCATGCAGCGTACTAGAGATGAATAGGTAAACTACTGGTACTTTGTGTCTAGCTCACTTGAAACAGTGTGGTTATGCAAGGTCTCTGGGTCGCCACTGACATTAAGGTTGTTCGAGTTCGCCCGACAGCTCCATTGAAGAAAGGCCTGGCAACCCTTTCTGTAAAGATGATGGAGCAGTTCTCCTTGGTAACGTGTGCGGGCAAGCATGGGAATTGTTTTAATGGCAACAAGTTTTTTGGGTTTTGTGTGTGTGTGTGTGTGTGTGTGTGTTTATGCCACTAATGTGATTGCAACTGCCACTGGTTCAAATTTGCTATTTTTAGAGATTGATCTTAAATTTTAATTTTGTACTGATTGTGTAATTGCCACTATCAATACACAAGAGGGCTCCAGAAAGTTAGTACGAAAATGGAATTAAGAAATGGCATAGTGCTTATCCGGTGGGCTGCAAACTGCAAGGTCAGCAGTTCGAAACCACCAGCCGGCTCATTGGGAGAAAGGCGAGGTTTTCTTCTCCTTTAAAGAGTTACAGTCTTGGAAACTCATAGGGACCCTCTGAGTCAGAATGGAAGCCCAGGCAGTGCGTGGGGTTTTTTGCATACAGGTGTTTAGTTACATGTAACACATTTACAAGCGTCTCAAGTCAAAAGCACTAAACAAAATACAGTGAGGAAAATTTAGTTTCCATTCCATCGACCCAAACTGGTTTTTCCCATAAGTAACCACTCTTTTTAAAATTAAGATTTTTATTAATAATCTCCATTAAAAAATACATATATACTTAGTCTTACATTTGGATATTACCTGTGTATACTTCTGTCGACTTTGCATTTTTCCACTTAACTCTGCTCTAGTGCTGTCCTCCCAGGGCAACAGAGAGGCCTTCCCCATTGCTTTTTCCAATGGCAGATGACTCCATTGTGCGGAGGTGTCTTAGTTTACTCAGTCAGCCTCCACATTGAGGGGCATTTGGATTGCATCCAGTTCTCCGCTCTTACAAATGACATTGACATTTTACAAGAAACATTCCAGTAATCCTAATCACATTTGCTTTGCTTTCCTCGCCCTTCTGTCTGGTGTGACTTCAGTCTGGAATTGAATGTTGATGCTTCTGAGGCTGCAAAAAAGTCAAATGATGATTTCCCCCCTCTTTGCCTGTACCACTGTTATAGGCAACAAGATTGATCTGGCTGAAAGGAGAGAGGTCTCTCAGCAGAGAGCTGAAGAATTCTCAGAAGCCCAGGACATGTATTATCTGGAGACTTCAGCCAAGGAATCTGATAACGTGGAGAAACTCTTCCTTGACTTAGCGTGCCGACTCATCAGTGAAGCCCGGCGGAACACGCTTGTGAACAATGTTTCCTCCCCTTTACCTGGAGAAGGGAAAAGCATCAGCTATTTGACTTGTTGTAATTTCAACTAAGGGCCGAGGCGAGGAGAAAAAGGAATCGGCAGCCGCCCTGGGGGGCCACCAGTTGCTGGGCAGATCTGGCGATGGCTGTGGCTCCTGCTCTTGGACCTTCTGGTGCCTGTGGGCTCCTCAGCTTCCAAAGCATGGCAGGCCCCGGGACTTGTCCACAGGCCAGCATTAGCAGAACATAAAATGGTCTCACCCTTTTGCAGTCTGGAGTTGGAGCAAAGCAAAATTCGCACTAAGCGCTCCTTGATCTGCAGAGCATGTTGCTTGGGTTTCTTAACAAGCAAATAAAGGCGCATTCCTGAATGCAGTCCACGGGGACATGGACGCTAGGAATCCCTCTTGCACACCAGTGGGTGCATGTGGGGGGCTTCAGTGGTTCTCCCTGGGGGCCTGGTTTTCCCGTCTGCCAGATCCACCCAAACCGGGAAGGCCAAGTACTTTCTCCATGGTGTGTGTTGGTAACTCCATGGAGATTTTTAAAAGTGTTCTTTTTCTTGTCCACAGGCACTTTCATGGACTTTGGGACGTCAAAAGGAAATGAAATCGTTACCCCGTGACCAACAGTCACGGTCATTGTTAATGCACACAAGCTCCGTGACGCCTTTTGGTGCTAACAGTTCCATATGTCACAGACCAAATGGTTTAGCCCATTGATGTCCTTACATGGATTCCCAGAAATAAAAGACATGGGGGAAGTCCATAAATCAGCACTCTTTCTCAACGCTTCATTACTACTTTCTCGAGGGGGGGTTTGTTGGGAAAGGAAATGCTTTTTCTTTCATGTTTCTCTCCAAATAGCTATTCTGCTCCAGGCCTTTTTGTATCCTCTCATCTCTCCTGACCTTACAGTATGTGAAAAAGTTTTAAAAATGAAAAGAAATAACAATATGAGTGACTGATGACGTTCCTATACAATAGAAGGTGAGCGCTAAGACGCTGAGTAGCCTGGGAAAACATACCAGACGTGACCAAAAAACTGCGGTTGGGTGGACTGCAGAGCAGGGTTGCAAGCAGAGCACAGCCCCCCCATGTCCCATTCCATCTTTTCCTTCTTGGTCCTGCCCTTCTGGACAGACCAAGGCTTAGGATTTTGTAGATGTTTCCACTATGATGGTAAGTAAGAATAGCAACAGAGGGGGAGTCTCACAAACCCTTCCGTACATGCCATCTATCTCCCTCAGAAAATTCTGCTTGTGGAAGCAGGTTGACCTGTCGTTTGTCACCTCCCTCATGTAGTGACCTTAGTTGCAAATTCATGACCATACTTCAATCCTGTTTTTCTTTCTCCCTCTCAGCTTTTTCTCTTTCCCTCTCCCTTTCTCCCCACATCAACTCCCTTTCTTATATGCATGTGTTGTTAACAATCTCCAATCAGATGGGAGGTGTGTATGCCTTTATTAGCCAATTCCCCAAACAGAAGACGTGTGGCTGAATCTGTCACTATTGCTTCAGTGCCATATTTTGATACCTTCCAATTGCTTTGCTGTTTAAATGCAAATTGGGGGAATAATTAAACATGTATCCTGTTGATGTTTTCAGATGTCGCTGTCGTTTGCTGCTTAGCATAACTCGAGGGACGGGGGATGGAATAAGGGTACGCCATGTATTTCCACTGTTGCGGACGGTGACACCTGCCAGTCCCGGCGGACTGCTGTTAGAACTCCGTTTGAAAGAAATGAACCACGTGGAGACATGATATTGATAAACTACTTCTGGGACTAATCAAGCTGCTCTCAGAGCGACCAGGCTCCTCCACACGGTGCCTCCGAGACTGCTTTTGGTTGGCCTCCCTGTGTTTATCAGACGAGATCGGGCGCGTTCAGGGTGGTATGGCAGTAGACGGCCTCCCTGTGATTATCACTGCGCAGGAGAAAGGGATCGCAGTGTCATTTTTCTTTTCAGAAGCAATCTCCACAGGAAAGAGAAATCATATTAACAACAACTAAAAAAATCATTTAACAAAACCCAGTCAAAACAGTTTATAATAATCATTGCCTTTCCCACCGAGTGAGCACGTCACTGGGGTGAGAAACCAAGCACAGCAAAGCCGACGCCTGGCTTTCTGGAGCTGTTAGGAAATGCCCTCCCCTTCTGATTTGTTACCTTTCACTCAGAGCAAGGGCCCAGTGTCCCCAACACTGGAGCATGACCCAAGTGTTGTGAATGAAGTTGCTTTGCAAAGAATTTGTTAGAATGGACAGATTTAATTGTACATAACAGCTTCTAGAGCCACACTTAAATGCTGAAAGTCTTATTCCTTAGCGCTCAGCCTCTTCCGGCTACCCTTACTTGACTGTCTAAGAAGGAGACAAGAGAGCTCTGCCTTGGGCTGCTTTCTCCCTGACAACTCCTCTCAGCCTCTCCAGGCTTATAGTTAGTTACCTAGCCTGGGCCAACCAGCAGGGGCCTATGAGAAAGGGGGCTTTATTTCTCTTTGTTCCTTCGTTGAGTGGATTCCAGATTAGATTTTATGAACACTTGTTCAATGATATATCTCAAACTTGAGAACAGTCCCTGTTTATATTGTACATATTCAGTAACCGTTAATAGAATAAATGACTTAGTGCCGAGAGGAGCTTTTTTGGTTAAATAGAAATTCAAGTACAACTTGAGAAATGACACCAGTTAAATGAAGCCATCTTAGCGCAGGCCAAGAGCTAAACAGTTCTATTTGCTGTGAGGCTAACTTCTAAGAGGAGCCTGCGTCAGATACAAATGAATTCTTGTGAGTGGCGGATGAACGCTGCTGCTTCACAACTGCTTTGGCCTGTCGGACTCCTAGGGTTCATTTCTTCCATTTCTGGTAAAAACCTTTATTCTTGCAAATCATGTCATCAAATATGTGGAAAAAGTTGCCATTTCCAATAAAAATACATCATGTTCACGGCATGGAATCAGATTGGGAGAATCTGTGAAATTATATCGTTTCCTCACATCTTTACATTATGATTTGATTATGGCTTTGTGTAAAATAGCGTGAGGATGTTGCATTTTCTCCTTGCCTACGCAGGGCTTTTTTACTTCTTTGTATGTTTTTTTTTCTTTGTATGTTTTTATTAAGTAATCTGAGTTGTATTAACTTTTAGTTCTTATTCTACAGAGCCAGTGATGCTTCATGTGGATTACTGTGATCGGGTCATTGGTTTGTCCTGGCCTTTACCTTGTCTTTTAGACACGTTAACACCATTCCCTGAATAAATTGGAAGAAAAAAACACAAAGCAAAAAATCAAAGGAATTTATTTGACTACTTCTCAAGTTCTGATGTAGAGTTTGTTAAGAACGGAAATAGATCTCATTGACCAAAATAAGAGATTTGGGTTAGGATTATTCACTTTAGACAATTGAGACATATTAGAGGAAAGAGGGAAATTTGACAGAGAACTAGATGCTGCTGCTTCTGTTCAGGAATTTATGCCTTTGGAGGCCCCTCTGACTCCCTCCCTGCTACATCAACGGTTTGCCTCCTCTACCCTTGAAACTCTTCCATCTCCATCCAAGGGCAGCATCAAGTTTCTGTTAATGAACTGCTCTGACTAAATGCCAGTTGCAAGTGTTTCTGAATTGGTCCCTAGCCGAAGTAAAAACATTCTTTTTATAAATCAAGTCACATGAATTGAGGTATCATTTTACCGTAATCATAAAAATGGCTTTAGATGTAGGCATAGTTTATTCTCCCGAGAATTCTCTGTATTCCATACTTATAATAGGATCGCTCCTCCCTTAGTCTCTGGATGAGCTTTTCTAGGTTTTGCCATTTCTTTTAGGATTTTTGAAAACCGCATCTGGTTACTTACGTTCCCCGGCCGTGTTCCTTACAGATGTTTGTTTCATGAGACTGTCATGAGACGCTTGAGACCCAACTTGAAAGCTGCAAGCAGTGAGAAAACATTTGCATCTCATCCTTTAGGCAAAACTACTGTAGTCCACGAAGAATGGTTGAACCCTTAACTTTGGGATAGGGAGGGTTGGTCTTCTTTCTGGATTTTATGTTTCTAACTGGAACCTCCTAGTGCTTGGAAGAAAACTGCCTGCAGGCTGCCTAGGGTGCCCTACTGAGAAGGTATAATTGTCCCTTTATCTACAGTCGTGGGTTTAGAACAAGGGGACGATACTCTGCTTCCTAAGTCCCATGATGGCGGAATGTTGCAGTCATTTTGGGAAGCCGTACTTTAAAAGTAAAGCTAAAGTGAGGCAAACGCAAAATGAGGACGGAGCTTAAACCATAAAACATTTCAAGAAAATTAGAGGGGCTTTGGGAGATTTAGCCTGGAAAAAAGAGGAAAATGCAATTAGGGCTCCAACATTTGAAGAGCTGTCGTTTCTAACTGTTGGAATCCAATGACACGTTGAACACAGGGTTTAGCACTATAGATTTAGGGTCAGTGTCAGGAAGAATTTTCCCAAAAGCTGCCCCATAATGGACGTGGCTGCTTCGGATGGCTTTCTGTCACTGGTCTTCAAGCAGAGGCCAGATCAGCACTTGGCAAAGATGGTGTAGAGAGGATCCAAGCATTAGATAATTTATTAACTTAGCCATGTTGCAGCACTTTGTCCCTTATAGCACATTCAATGAAATATTTACTGACCCATAAATCATGCTTTAAAACCCAACAAAAAAGAGGGTTTGCACTTTTGCCAAAAATGCATCCTAACACTGAGGGGAAGGTTATGTGTTTGATAGGTCAAACCTGCCATTATACCCTATAGGATGGTCTTGCTGTCCTATTAACATCTCACACTGGCTCTTGAATTAAACAAACAAAAAGAAACAATAAAAAACTAGTAGAAGTTTTATAAACCAGAGAAATAGAATTCATTTATCATTGCCAAACTTGGACTGTTGCTTAGTGGCTACTGAGTCCCTCTTTGGGATTTCAAGGCAGGTCATGTTAGCAGAGCAGACGCTTCAGTTAAAGATCTCACAAAAGCCACCAGCATGGCATTTTTCAGTTCCCAGGAGGTGGGCTGGGAGGTGGGTCTTAGTCATAAAGCAGTTCCCCAAATCTATTTTAGGGGACAGTTAAGTTAATTCGATCCTCTTGCGAAAATATAATCTGGGCATGCTTGTAAAACCTGAAGTCAAATTGCTTCATGTAGTAAATAATATAGCACAGGCTATTGATTTGAAAATCAGAGGTCACCACAGGCAACTTTTGCTAACAGAGCCTATGGCCCAAATGATTGCATCAGTCAAATCATTTGCATCCTCGCTTGGCTGATAACATGGCTCTTCGGTGGTCTTTTTAAAAATTCCACCAGTCTTGCATCAATACGGCAAGAACCTTTTATTGAATCCTTTGCCTGAGAAGTCAGAGCACAAGCGCTAGAAACCAATTCTTCCTAAATTACCTACCTGATATGCGTCAAGATTGTATGTTCCTTCTAAGTTAAAGCAGACTTTTTGTAGATGTTTTCTAATTCCTCACAGAACCCTTGGTGTGGTGCCTTTGCTATTTCCGAGAAGAAGGAGGGCGCTGCAGGATCAAGGGGACAACACTAGATTAGCTGTGAGGAGGCTAAGGACTGCCACTCAGTACCTGGGACTCACAGGCCACGCACCAGTTTTGCTACCCACAAGTTGGACTCGTAATACTTGGCCAGGAAAATTGTGACCACTGTGAAAATCAAATTAGATCAATTGAAAAAGTATACAACTTTGCTAAAGAGTAAGCACTCAAATATTAATTATTTTCTTCTTGAGTAAGAGCTTACTACAACTATTGACCACGAGAAGATGAAACAAAAGACACTGTCCTGGCTTGGGGGATCAGAGCTCCATTTAGTTCATCAATCACTCTGACTCTAGGCACTGCTGTACTCTCAAGACAGGCTCACCTTTTAATTTTTATTATTATATCAGGAAAGATATTCTTTCACTCTTGATAGGCAATTCCAGGGTTGTAAACGCTTTATTGTCAGGAAATTTAATCCTAGACCTAAGATACCTCACAGTACAATTTAAACCTCTTTCCTCTTGATTCCATTCTCAGTGGGAAGAAAAGTGAGTTTGATGCTTCTGAAAATAGTTGTTTGAAAAACCCTGAGGATTAGTCTTAGTAGTTGACTTCATTATTTTATGTCAGCTGATCCCTATCTTCTTTTTAAGTGGCCATTTCTTAATTGGTATAGATGGTATATAATTTTACCCTTTGTTGTTGGTGATGCCCTCGAGCCAGCTCTGACTCATTTATTAATGACCCTCTTGCTTAATATACACAATAATAGAAAAATTTATTAAGGTGACAGTTATTCCTTTGGGTATTGTCAAGACATTTATTAGCACTTGGCTTCATATTTATATCGAATTTGGAACATACTCATACTGTTAATTGTTCAGTTACACATGTATTTTTCCTTTTTTCCCCCCCACATGTATTTTTCTTTAGTTCCATCATAAAAAAAAACTCCTTCAAACTCATTGCCATCTAGTTAATTCTAACTCATAGCGACCCTATAAGACACACTAGAACTGTTGCTGTGGCTTTTAGAAACCGATTCTGGGTGTCGGTAGAAAGCCTCATCTTTCTCCCAGTTCTATCCTGTACATATAATTGATGAGAACGTGTGCTTCTGAAGAACCATTACGATGTGTGGCCTAATTTTTTTATTGGGAAAAGATGGAGTCATGGATCTCAATTTTTGATCTGCTTTTCGAACTTAATAATGTATGGCATTATTTGATGGACATAATTGCCAACACTTAAATCAGCAGGGTTTCTTTGCCCTTCTAGATATGCACCAAGCTCTTAAAAAACAACAAAAAACGTCATACCAAATGCTTAATAAAGCAAAAATTGATATGCAGCATAAAGAAGATAAAGAATCTTGTCTGTTCAGGTGATGCGTCACTGGTGGTTCGCATGGTGCACAGCTTTTGTTTACAGTTACGGAGTTATTCCTGGATGAAGTAATCAGGACCCTTCCTGAGCCCTCTGAAAAACGAGCTGCTAAATATATTGCTTCGTGGAATGTAATTATTAGGAATAAAATTATCTTCATTAGAGTTGCAAAATGCTAGTGGAGCTTTCTTGTAGATTATTCAAGAATGTCAACTGATGTATTAAATTTTTTTTCAATCCTCTTCTCCCTTTACAATGTGCTGGGGCACTCACGCCTCTTCAGTAGAACACTTCAAATAACTGGAGCGCTGGCTTCGGATTTCTACTCACTGATGTGTCCTCTAGACACACAGATGGTTGGAGCTCCTTGTTGGGTGTAAAAGGGAGCTATACAAATGTATTGGGACTAGTACATGAGTAAAATTGCTGTTTTCAGCAAAAGAACTCTGCTCAAAATTTGAGATAATAAAGGGTTAATAGCATTTTTAAAAAAATTGTTGTTGCTGGTAATTTAAAGAGAAGTGTATATCTTATATACAATTTACATATATTCTAATGCATGACAGTATAGAGATAAAATGCCAACCATAAAATTCTGGATGTCATCTCAGCAGCTTGTTATAATATCTAGAGAAGCTTTTTAATGATGATTTAGCAAATTTTTTATATAAATAATTTTATTGGGGGTTCTTCCAGCTCTTATAACAATCCATACATCAATTGTATCAAGCACATTGGTACATATATTGCCATCATCATTTTCAAAATATTTTCTTTCTATTTGAGCCCTTGGCAACAGCTCCTCTTTTCCCCCTCCCTCCTCGAGATTTAACAAATTCTTTATTTCATTCCCCTTCCCATTTCCTCTTTCCAGCAAAGCCTGGTTCTTCGACATGTACCATTTTAATGACATTAATCATTATGTCTTATGAATTTAATCTTAATCTTTGGCTATGTTTTAAGTGGGCTTTCAGTAATATCTGAATATAGTATATTCAATAAAATAGTATAGTATCTACACTATAGAACAGTATATTCTATAGCAGAGTATATA